AAATAAAGTTTTAACCAAACAAAATAGAAGAGGTTTACTTAGAATTTAATAACATTAAGCTAAAATAAAATTTATTTTAGTAAAAAAAAAAGAATCAATTAAGAGAAAGTGAAACAAAATTATTAGGTGTACAACTTTGCTTCCGCCGTTTTCGGATAGGTGGCTGTACCGGCTGAGGCTGGTTGAAATACATAGATGATAATGCCTTTAAAGTGAGTGTGGACAGTGCCTAACGAATTGTCATCGCCGTTTCAGTGACAGTTGTTCTTGTTTTCGTATTATTCACGCTCGAAAATGTCCGTTTATGTGCCTAATTCTCGTCATTTGCGGGAAGTTTTACTTTTCTGTTGCAATTCGAAAAAAAAAAATGCAGCTGAAACGCATCGAATGCTCGCAGATCACTTACGGTGATGCTGCTCTGAGTGAAAGAACATGTCGGGAGTGGTTTCAACGTATATTCACGGCGCCAAGGTAATGATTTGTATTTGGTGGGATCAGCTCGGTGTGATTTACTACGAGCTCTTAAAACCGCGTGAAACTCCCACAGGAGATCTCTACCGAACGCAACTGATGCGCCTTAGTCGCGCGCTAAAAGAAAAGCGGCCACAATACCAAGAGCTACATGACAAAGTCATCCTCCAACACGACAATGTGCGGCCTCACGTCGCAAAAGTGGTCAAAAAGTACCTGGAAACGCTGAAATGGGAAGTCTTACCCCAGCCGACGTATTCCCCAGATGTCGCCCCTTCTGACTCCACCTATTCCGTTCGATGGCACACGGCCTGGCAGATCAACATTTTCAATCCTTCGAAGAATTGGAAAAATGGATTGCTTCATGGATAGCGTCAAAAGAGGACTCTTTTTTTCGAGCCGGGATCCGAAAATTGCCGGAAAGATGGGAGAAAGTTGTCGCTAGCGAAGGACAATACTTTAAATAATATATCTGTAGGCACTTTTTCGCAATAAAGCTTTTAATTTTGGAAAAAAAACGGCGGAAGCAAAGTTGTAAAATAAAATATATTAATTTAAAATTATTAATAAATGAGGTAATGATAAAATATAAGAGCAAATAAGATATACTAAAATAAATAGAATCATGCAAAATAAAAAAACATAAACTTAAGTAAAAAAAAACTTTATATGAAAAATAAGTAATAAATTCAAATTAAAACGACTTTAAGGAAAATTGAAAACAAAATCGTAACAAAAGCTGTATATATTTAAATCGGATCACGACTCGAAACCCGACCTTCCGAAAGGTAGTACGCACTGTCTGGTACTCGGCTATTGCGCAGTTTTTATTTAATAAATAAAAACGATTTATTTTATTACTTAATTACTAACTAATCTAATCGTGACTACTTTGGGACCAGTGTGTTTTCAGCTTAAAATTGCCGCAATTAATCCAAAGCTTTTCCCCATCAGCTTATTGCAGTATTGCTGTACATGTATGCATTTGCGTATATAATAAATTTTCGAAAACAACTACAAATATTTAAGAAGTAAATTAACTCTATTTACCCGCATGGCAACCAAAATAGTTGGGAAAATAGACACGAAGGAAAAAAACATAGTAAAAATGTGTTTAAAAAGTTTGAATTAAGTGTTTAGCGAAAAACAACGCATCGAATGAAGACATGTGCATGATGATGTGTTTGTGTGTGTATAGTATTTGACGCAATATATATGAATATAGATATTTTTTTAGTCCATTTGCGCCATGCAACGTGTCCTCTTTTAATTTAATGCACCAAAATTCAACGCCCATTTGTGGACTCACCGACCAAACACATTCCCTTCACATTATCGACTCTTTTTTAAGCTACTTTTTCTCTCCCTCTCTCTCCCTATCTGCAGCACTGTTACTTCGTATACACACAATACTCTTTTCATAGACTTTTCCCTGGACACTCATGTTCATATATTTATTTGGTATGGACACCACGAATTGCTTTCATCACTGGTTTGGTGTTGACACTACTTCTTAGCGGCCTTTTAGTACCACTTGGCTATCCTTTTTATAAATAAGGCTTTATATATACCTTTCATATCTAATTAGAAAATTATCTATATCTAGGCTTTCCTACTAACTGTTGGAGAGAAGAGAGGTTGAAATTTTATTATGATGTTTCTGAAGTCTAGTTTCTTCATGTATCCGTATAATAGCATACCAATGGACCAGCATTGGCGTTTCGAAAACGGGTTTTTCAGCTATAACTTCTAAAATTTAGCAATTAAAAGCACGAAATTTTGCGCACAGCTTCTTTAAAGTTAAAGTATAATATACAATGAGTTTCATAGCGCACGTAATACTTTAACACATGACCCCCATACAAATGCGCTTTCAAAAATGATATTTTTGCTCACAGCTCAAAAATGTAAGCAGTTATGTTAATAAAATCTCGTCTACAGCAAACATATTGCAAGTAAAATATGGAGCGAAAAAATTATTGAAATCGGTCCACCACAACATATGGCTCACCTGTAAATGATGGTTCAAAAACGTAATTTTGAGTCATAATTTCCAAAATAAAGCTGCTAACAGACCAAAATTTTCTGTGTTGCCTTGCCAACCATATACTAATTATTTATAGTAAAATTCACGAATATTACACTGTTATAACATGTAGTTGCCATACAAAGTCGCATTAAAAAATTATGTTATGGTTTACAACTCGGTCAATTAGAGAGTTATGAAAATCAATTTTTGTACACTGCATACATATTTCAAATCAAATATTGATGCTGAAAATCAGTGAATTCGGCTTATTAAAATATATAGCTCCCATACAATCAATTACTCAAAAATTAGATTTTGCCTCAAAACTACTCTAATTAAACAGCTGAGGATTTTTTATTGTATTTTGAGCAGTCAAAATTATGACACTATGTCTTACCCACTCTTCGTGGAAGTTATAATGTTTTTATTACAATAATTTACTCTCTGTTAGCACTAAAGGGTATACAATTTTTTGTTGTATTTGTTGTTACTAAATTTTCAAGTAAATTGTATACCACTTTAAAGCATACAACATACTGCCCCAAAGTGCATTACAACGTCAACAGACTATTAATAATCATTTTAAATAAATTTAAATAAAATTGTGCGCATACACAAGAGACGTACACATTCGCCCTTCCCATTTGTTTGTTTGTATATGTGGAACTCTCATATAATACTATATAATGGGTTACAATAGCGCTTTTATTTAATATGGCGTACAACTAACTAACCATTAAACGAACAAAATAAGTGGTCACTCAGCCGTAAAGTAGACTATAGTTCTTAGTTTAGTCACAGTATATGTATGCAGCTAACTTTTATTGGCATTGGTGTATGTGTGCTGTCATTGCATTGTCAGCGCTTGGTGGTTACACTACAATTTTGTGCGATTCTTGTCCATTATTTTAACATTTATTTCATGCCATTCTCTTTTTTCATAGCATTTTTTCTTGTCTGCTGCCCAGTTGAAGTCTTTGGGGAAATTATGTAATGCAGTTTATGGCTTTAAAGTAAGTAAAGGCAAGCCAACAATATATATATATATATATATATATATATATATAGATATATATGGTATGCGTTGAAAGTTATTTGACAGCAAGTTGACTCATAGCCAAAACAGTGGCACTTCAAGCCACAAAGGCAAGCGCAGACATATTGTTTGCTTATTTGTGTATATCTATTCCATATTCAAAACAAAACCACAATGGCGATTGCCATGCATTTTTGTGTCCAGTCGGAGTTTATCCATTGTCCTTTGGTATTTCACAAAGCAGCGTTCCGCATGTCCTATCTGTCTGCAACTTGGTTTGCTCCGTTCTGTCCGCCTGCTGCTGGTCATTCATTGCCGCTAACTGCCCCCATTTGGCTGTTTATCAGCTACTTTGGCAAGCAACTCACTCGCTGGGTGAGCCCTGGCTTAGCTTTTTTTGTTTCAATTTAGGGCAATATTTAAAACCGTATTTTTCTGCCTTTGAGGCACCAAGTTAGTTAACTCAAAATAAGTAGATAACAATTTGCATATTATTTTTGGTCAGAATAATTTAATCTAATCTATTTGTTAAGTTCACTTCCTTAATTATTTTTTTGTTCTATATTTACATTTTTATTTATTTAATATAATATATTTTATTTAATTTTGTTTTATATTATTTTATTTTATTTTATTTTATTTTATTTTATTTTATTTTATTTTATTTTATTTTATTTTATTTTATTTTATTGTATTTTATTTTATTTTATTTTTTTTTTTATTTTATTTTATTTAATTTTATTTTATAGTATAGTTATGTTTACGGTAATTAGTAATCTCATTGGCTAAGGAGATATGGGTATACTATATTTTTGTATGTATGTGTAAGGATTTAAATTGCATAACAACAGCAGCTTGCTCTGCTACGAAAGTGTTGAAATTGCTGCTCCAAATTGCAAATTATCTACTCCCTCATAAATATGCCTGCTAAGGCAATAACAGCAAACGATATTTATAGACCTTTTAGGCTTAATTGCAATTTAATTGGTTTTTAAACAGACAACAAATGCGAAAAGTATAATTCGAATCCAATTTAAATGCTCATGAGCTATAAAATGCATGATGTAAATAATGTATTTTTCTCCTCTTTTATTGTTTTTGCTTTACTGCGGTAGTAAAATTGTGTTTTTAGGTCAGATTATGTGTATATTGAAATACATATACATACACATATACTTATTATATGAAACGCATTAATTCACTTGTAACATTTAAGTGAGTTGTGTTAATCGTTGATGCAAAAGATGGCGCAAATGAACTATAATTTGCTTGTTACGTGATGAATAGCTGGAAAGAATTAACTTTACTGCTAAATTTTTTCATTCAGTTACTTTTAAAGCTGTTTTTAATTTCTCAGTTATGAATATAAAATGATTTAATTTTTTGTAGAAAAGTTTTTGTTATGAATTTTTTCTTTAATTCTCTTAAAATGCACTGCAGAAATGAATTTATTTCCTCACTCACCTCACTATCATTACTATGCAATATGAGTTTGAAGCCCGGCAACAAATTCGGCTCTTTATTAACATCATCCAATGCCAGTCTTGCTGCTGGCATACACGCCTGTCCACCCTGCCATCCTCCGGTGCCTGCGATCGGAAATATACCGCCTATATGCAGCTCATCGGCACGACCGCCGTCCGTTAAATCGGCATTGTGTAAAATTAATGAAAGTAATAAAAATATCCAAAATGTTAAAACACCATCACATGTCATATCCTGAAAAGAATGGCGAGGTAGAAAAAAAAAATACAAAAATTATTATTAAATAATCACGAAAATAGCATCAAAAGAGCAAAGATAAGCAACATAAATAAATTCATTATAATTGTTGCATATATGAATTACAACCTCATATAATAAAAAATTAATTAAATGCGAAAATAATCATGTTTTCTTTCCATACAAGTAGATAAACATAATTAAAAAATTAAATGCAAATTACGTCACACATTAACGTCGATATTTTGATGTATCCATTATATATTAGCGCGCTCATTATGTAAAAAAAAAACAATTTCTGTTGTAAAAAATTTTCATATTGCTTTTAGCGCTTGCGTTAATTATATAAAAATAATGAAAATGAAAATACAAAATATGCGCTCAGCTAATTTATTACCAATTTCCGGTTCAGAAAACTCCACTGAAATTTACACAAATATTGACATTTCATTATGGTCTTCAAACAATATTGAGCTTGTCACATTCACCAGATTTTGTACACCTGATTAATAACTTACTTTCGCAGGCATTTTTTTTTTTTGTCACGAAAAAAAACTTACCTCGTTTTTTCTTAATTACACTTGTTTTTATTGCTGCCGCAAGCTGCTTAAATTCCACTGATTTCATTATAATTAAATTCCTCGCCACATTGTTACCAATACTTGCACACAAAGCATATATACATAAAAAAGATTTTTACAGTTTTGTTGGAAAAACAGTGTTGTTGTGGAATTAATTTGCGTTGGCTGAAATGAGGTCGCTCGGTATTATTTATTCGACATACAATTTTCAGGGAATACGCGTTTAGGTCAAATGTTGCATACTTTTAGGCTCTGCTGCTTTTAAACGCTTTTTTAATTGACCTATACTTCTCTAACAGCTAATGATGCGAATATTATATATCGAAATCTGACTAATTTTATTTTAAAAATATACTTTATTCTTCTGCAATTATGTTCAAAAAACCTTTGCGTTCAAGTTTAAGCCACCAACTGAGCTCTCTTATCGATATTTCAGTAAATATTATTATTATTTATTAACATTATAAATACTTCCGATCTGTTTTGAATACTTCGATTCTACAGAAAAAATTTCTTTTGTTTTTGAAATTCTACTTTGTTTATTGAGATAAATAAATCAGGCCTGAGTAGTTATCAGTGAAGGGACTATTTCGAAAAAACATTCGAGCTTTGCAGAACTTGCTTTTATTTCCTGATCTGAGAGAAACTTGATTCAGGCACTTCCACTTCTTCACTCAGAATTTGAATAATTAATTATAAGTTTTTGGCCATCAGGTTTCGTTGTCTAACCTTTTAAAATTTGAAATTCGAAATCTCTTTAGGTCGATTACCTTGCGATAAAACATCATGCTTTAGTTTTCAAATAAGATAGTTCCAAAATTTGAAAAGCTGACGACCAACAAGATCATTGGCTCCTCACCGAAATTTTTTCATCTGCTTCAGTGCCTTCCATAGGGAGTACTCAGCTTTTCGGCACGCCCCTTATTATTATTGCGGAAGTGGATTGTCAGAACCCTATCTCTGGCAGATAGAAACCTCGAGTCATCAGTTGCTTTGGTTTTAAAAAACCCGGCTTAGCTCACCGCACACCTTAAAATCACTCCAACATCCGGTAGGTATTCTTTATGAATACTTGGCGCCAGAAATTTGGGATCCAATCGTGTTTATTTGCATCATGCAGACCGGAGAGGAAGAGTCGCTGGTACAAACTTTCCTTCTGGATGTATCTGCCATGCAATCGTTTTCTACCTATATAGAGAGTGGTAAAGGCATTTTTATATCTTTTAACCATGCTTTCTCTCTCTGTTTTGATTATAAATATTTATTCTTTATGTCTTGACCTAGTAAACGAAAGCTTTTGGTTATCACAGAGCCCAAAAAGAATAAACAAGTTTATTTTACTTGATAGGTTTACAGAATAGTGGGGATAGAATTCCATGCTACGGAGTGACACTTCTCGCATATCGGGATACTTGATGTCCATCAAGGCTCGGAGTGGTTTTAAGTTGGCAAAGAATAAGAAAGTGTGAGACGATCTCGAGGTGACTAAAATTTTTAAGAAGATAATAGTAGTTGGGAAAAATCAGAGAGAGGGACAGAAAAAGAGACAGATAGAGTAAAGTACAGAGGAAGAGAACCTAATCTGACCAAAGCGAGTTATCTAGTCTAGAGAACTGCAGTGCAAATATAATTCGTAATAATTTTAAAGCTGTCCAAGTAAGCCTCGTTAACTTCTGCGGAAAAATATTAATTTTAAACCTTTGCAAGCGTAGCTGTAAAAATACGGCTTGTTCTCACCAAAGATCCTGCAAGAAGTTTGAGTCGATACAATATTCAAAGTAGAGTAAGTAGTTATCGGATTACTCATCCAAAGGTCAAATTGAAATGAGAAACCACTTAACCCCTCTTGTAATCCACAAATGGCGCCTGAGTACACACATATATACTACCTGTATATTTATGTATACAGACTCATACATACGTATTTATATACGTATTTAACTGCGTTGATAAATATTTTAATAGTGACACATCTGCTTAAATGTGCAACGATGCATAAAATTACGCACACTACTCTTATATATACAAGTCTGTAATTATAAAAGAGCAAGCTTATGCAAAATTAAAATATAAAAATTTATACAATAATAAAGGCAGAATAGTACGTGGATGTGTAAGAGTATAAGAATATATATGTACTAGTATGTATATATACATATTGGCATTAACTCATCACGGCACGAGCAGCTTCCAGGTTAATTATTGTATTATTGTAGTATCTGAACTCAATGCTACTAATTGGGCTCTGTTACTTTAATGCAGGCAAAAATAGAAAGGAAAAGGAAAAGAAACCCGCATTGAATGAATGAAATTAATATTTATAAAGCATTTGGGTTTTCTTAAAATTAATTTGTTATTTCTCTAACCGTTACCTTCAATACAGTCAATTAAAAAAATATCTGATTAAATAAAATAAAACAAAAATAAATAAAATAAAATAATATAAAAATAAAATAAAATATAATAAAAAAAATAAAATAAAATAAAACAAAATAAAATAAAATAAAATAAAATAAAGTAAAATAAAATAAAACAAAATAAAATAAAGCAAAATTAATAACCTTAAAAATCAAATCAATCAAATGAAAGAAAATAAAAAAAATTAAATAAATTAAAATAAACTCAAATTAAAGAGTAAAAGATTAAATAGTATAAAATAAAATGAAATGAGAAAAGTAAAATAAAATAATATGAAATAAAAGAAAGGAAAAAACGAAAATAAAGCGGGAAAGTAAAATTATCGTACTGAAATTAGAAAAAATAATAATTAATTAAATTTCATTTAAATAATAAAAAAACCAAAATTAAAAATTAAATTATATTAAATTATTTTTTAAAGAGGGCAGTATTTTTTGTTTCACAATAAAATTTAAAAGATGAGAAGTAGAAAACATATAAAAGTTTTTTCATTACATGAATGGAGGAGTCGAAATTTTATCTCCAAATTCTCACTTATTTCGATATATTTCGACTTTAATTCGCATTTTTTTCAACTTCGAAAAATTTTTTCAACTCCAGCAATAAAAATTGGGACATGTTATAATTTATATTTCCATCTAATACTTTCCGGAATGGTTGAACGAATTTCTATTCGTAGATTGTATGCATACTTTATATACCCAACCTTTTTGGTTTCAAAATATACACTCTGCCCAGCTTACGTTTCAATTTAATTAATTTATTTTGCCCATGTTTGATTACTCTTCAAATGCGACCCTATTAAAACGCCAATCTCTCCCTTCTGCTTGTCGCTCTCTACCCGCTACTCACGTTATTTCGTATATACATTTTTAATGCTTTGTTTTTCTTTCCTTCCTCAGATTGCGTATAACTTTTTCAAGCCTTTTCATTTTATTTGGTTTAATTTTTGTTTGCTGTTCAGCGTTCTGTTGATTTTGGACAATTAAACAATAAAGAAAGAAGGGTATAAAGTGGAAAGTAGAAAAATACGCGAATCATCATATTCTCTGCATTGTTTCCTAAATAACCTTTTACCTGATTTATTTACGTTTTCAGTGCGCTGGCAGTTGCTTTCCCCATGTTGTGTGTGAGGTTGATTCATTTTTATTTTTTATTTAATTTAATTTTTTTTTTTTGAGTAATATGTAGCATTTACTTGCTGTTAGTATTGGGTTTCACATTTATATTTTTACAATTTTTTTTTTTGGTTTATTTCGTTTATTTACCTACAAATGCTTCGACTTTTTTAATTTCAAAGCAAAATCTCTCGCATCCTTGAAATATCAAATTGCCATCGTCAGCTGTTTTTCGTATCTGGCTGCAGTTGCTGCTGCTCTTGACAGAAAATTAACCTCAATCACTTTGATGCAGGTGAATAAATATTCAAATTCTTCTCGGTAAATGCTGGCCTTCAGGGTAATCTCGCCTTACGCCATTTTCTATTTGCTTATGCATACAAACGCACGCGAGTCAAATATTTATTTACAATAATTTTATATTTTAATCTTTAAAAAATTTGAGATTTTGCTTTAATAAGGGTTTTGGTATATTATATGGCTTAAACATCTATAGTTTAATTTGTTTGTTTTATCTTACTTTACTTTTAATTTTTTATTTTTTACTTTATTTGATTTTATTCATCTTGTTATGTTTTATTGTATTTCAATATATATATATATATTATATTTTTATATCAGTTCATTTCAATCACTTATTTATATTAATTATTTTTTTTGTTTTATTTTATTTTTTTATTATTTTATTTTATTTTATTTTATTTTATTTTATTTTATTTTATTTTATTTTATTTTATTTTATTTTATTTTAGTTTATTTATTTTATTTTATTTATTTTATTTTATTTTATTTTATTTTATTTTATTTCATTTTATTTTACTTTATTTTATTTTTTTATATTATTTCATTTCCTAATATTCAATTTTATAACAGGAAGAAA